TCTGTCTCTGCTTCTTAACAGCCAGGAAGACGGCGTGTCCCACCTCAACTAGCCATTTGGTGATGGCTGTGGTTGTTTAAAGCTAATTAGTTAGCAATGTTTTAAAAATCAAATATCTCCTCTTAACACACGCATTCCTAGCTTTTGTTTAAAAATCCCATGGGATCCACAATCGCCACGGGCTCCCACCGAGTCTGGGTATCTACCACAGAGCTTAAGCCACCAACGGGTTGAATCCGTCATACGATCTGTGCATCTAGGGTGGTAGGCAAACCCACCTTTAAAAGAAAACAAGTCTTTAATCCCAGCACTCAGGCCAGCACCCATCAGTTCAAGGCCACGCTGGTCTACATAATAAATTCCAGACAAGCTAGGGCTACACAGTGAGACGGTCTCTAAAAGCAAAGGAAGAAAAAAAGGAAAAGCCCATCAAAACTGATTAAATCATTTCAAATGAAATTTGACTTTCATCAGATTAAAACACTTGATCCAGACTGCAAATATATGTGCACAAAACCTAAGATGGATGCATGTCCGAGGCAGTTCGACTGTAATAGTGTTTGAAATGGCAAAGGCCTGGAGGCCACTAAAGCGCTCATCAGTAGGGGATTGGCTAAATATTCCATTTTACAGACGATCCACACAGCAGGACGAGTACAGCTATTTTTGAAAGTAAGGAATACAGTAGCTCTATTATGTAACCCTCACTACATTCCCCAGGAATGTATTTTTAAGAAGTGAAAGAAGAGGTGAAATAAAGAAAAAAAAAAAAAAAAAAGAACAGTCTGAAGGCTGGGGCGTATGGTGTCATTCCGCTTGTAGGAACAATTTTTCAACCTGTGTGGGTGTTTCGGCTGCATGGGTACCTATGCACCATGCGCATGTCTGAGCCCCTCGGAGGCCAGAAAAGGGCAGCAGATGCAGCAGCTCGCTCGCGAGGGTGCTGGGAATTGAACCCAGGTCCTCTGGAACAGCAGCAGGTGCCCTTCGCCAGCCCCTGGGAGAAGGAGTTTTAAAGAGACAAAGAAATGCATTTAAATATGGAGAGAACCGAGATGGATGCATAAAGCCAAAATAGGTGGAAAGCCGGTTAAGTCAGCAAAGGAAAGAATAACTTCTATTTTTCTTTATTTCGTAATGATTTTATTTTTATTTTTATGTGCATTGGTGCTGTCCCTGCACATGGATTGCCCTGAACTGCAGCTATAGACAGTCGTGAGCTGCCGTGTGGGTGCTGGGAACTGAGCCCAGGTTTTCTGGAAAAACAACCAGTGCTCTTTAGCCACCCTGAGCCATCTCTGTAGCCCTTAATTTCTACTTTTCACACCTTCCCATCCCTTTTTAATATCATGACACATTTAGTTATAATTTAGATAACAGGTATTTTAATGATTAAAACAAAAAATGGGGCTAAGTAAAAACAACAACAAAAAAAAAAAAAATGTAGCTCATGTGCAGAGTGTAAGACCCTGGTTCAATATTCTTAAGAGTAAATTCTAAGTCAGAGGAAATCATTTTCTGCAGAAGTTAACTTGTGTGAAAACCCCAGCGATGCCAGGATGGCACTGACAGTGGCAGGCTTCATGACTCCGCCTAATTTCACATATGAAAACACCAAGGCCCAAGGTACTCCCTTAGAAACCACCAATGAGTGAATGAACATTTGCACACCTGACACTTGATAGCAGGACGTGAGGCCTCAGTGAGTGCCGCCGTTAACGCTTTGATTACCACCCTAGCTTGGCAGATGCCTCGACTGCACACTAACCCTTCCACACGGCCCACTCCTGAGTGGTCTCGGTCAGGTGGGAGTCGATGACCAATGCAGGACGTCTACAGCAAGAATCCAAGCTCCTCTGAAGCGCAGCCATGCCCTGGAGGAGACGGAAGCACGGTTCTCAGCCTCGGGTATTTCCTCAAGACGGGCAGATGGCCCCACCTCCTACAACCTCACAGCCTAGTTCCCACTCCCAAGAGGCACTGCTACCCAAGTGTGTATTCCCCCAAAGTGCTCTATCCCACTTTCAACAGCCTCCTTAATGAAGAGTGGAAGCTTGAGACCCCACACTTCTTGGCTTCCTTCTGCCCTTTTTTTTCTTCCTAATATCCCTAAGATCCCTTCCTAATATCACCTGTGCTTGTCCTCCCCCACCCCCCAAATGCTGCTAAAGGCCAAATTTCAGCCAAAGGCCAAGTTTCAACCTTGCCCATATGAAAGGGACACTACATTACTAGGACATGACTCTTCCCTGAATCTTTGTCTCTCTCACCCACTCCCCATCCGTGTCAGATAGGCCTTGCAGGCCTGTTCCACTAAGCCAGGCTTTGAGAGCAGTCTGCCTTACACCCCGGGGGCCCAGCTGCACACACAGGTGACGGTCTGGGAAGGGTTCCCACGGTGCATTAGCTCCAGACAGCGAGAGAGAGTGTGTTTGGAGCTTTCCAGCCCCTTCTCAATGATTCATGAGGCTGAGACTAGGGGAGTACCAGTCAGTCCTTTTCCTCCGACATTAGGCAAGCTGTCTTGGCTCACCAGCATGCGCTGGGTAACAACTTTCCAGCTGAGAACCCACCTCCCATCAATCTAGCTATCGTTGCTTACATCACTTGCTATCCATATACAACCCCCAGAACACCTGGAATGCCAGAGTTCTGCTTTCTGTTTTGTCTTCTTAGTATATATATATATATTAAGAATTTTTTGTTGGTGGTGGTGGTTGTTGTTTTTTGAGACAGGATTTCTCTGTGTAGGAATTCTCTGCCCTAGAATTTGATTTGTAAACCAAGCTGCCCTCAAACTCACTGAGACCTGCCTGCCTCTGCCTCCTGAGAGCTAGGATTAAAAGCATACACCACCGTACCCAACTATGAAATGATTCTTTAGTAAATACAAATTCTGTTAAACATTGAACCCCAAAACAGTATTTCACAGACTCAATGATTGTGCACACTGCCTAAGTTTGACGAGCTGATGATTCCATCAACTAAGTATACTTCTCTTTAAAACCACCCGATAGAGCTGGGCGATGGTGTACACTCCCTTGGTCCCAGAAGGAGGCAGAGGCAGGTGGATCTCTGAGTTTGAAGCTAGCCTGGTCTACAGAAAAAGAACCAGTCCAGCCAGAGCTACACAGAGCTACACAGAGAAACCCCGTCTCAAAAATATAAACTGATATGCTTTTATCGTCTTTTCTTTAAAAGGGGGGGGGGGGCACAAATTCCAGAATAAACTACTACCTGTTAAATTATTGTTACAAAACTCACTTTAGTGTCTTCACATTTCTTATTTTGCCCCAGAGTCTAAGAAGTTTGCCAGGAGCCAGCACTGCCTTTCTGCTGGTCTTTGAAAGCCCTCCAGGGGGAACCAGATCAGTCACCTGCACTTAGGTCTTTTGATGCCTCCCAGCAGTGCTCTCCTAGCCACCCAAATTCACTAATTCTCCCAGGAGCCCAGGAGAGAGGTCGCTTCAGCCCTCTTGGCGGATATGGAGGCTGACGTTTTGGAATTAGAATTTACAGCTGGTGAGAATTTCATACACTGTCTACCCAAATTCTCAGTTCACAGGTGAAGAGTATGGCCTGTGACAGCAATAATAATTATTGTTTGGTGACAATGATCGCTATGTGTTTAGTGGTTTACAGTTAATGAACTACCTTCATGTTTAGCAAATATTTACTGAACTAGAATGGAAGGTTGAGAACCACTGGCAGCAGACTTTGAGCCAGAGGGAAAAGTGGTGTCAGCCCTAGACCGGCCACCATAACCCGCCACATTGTCTCCCAGCTCCTCTTTCCTCACTGCATGGACTCTGTGAGGAGCACAAGTCTTGCCTCTGTAGGCACTCAAAACATTCATTCACCCACTCTTCCTGTGCATGGTGTGTGTGTGTGTTCCTGTGTCTGTGTGTTCCTGTGTCTGTGTCTCTGTCTCTCTGTGTATGTCGAAATCAAGAAATCATAGTTGGTATAACAAAAGTTACATTTATTATGCTGAGGGTCATGGCACAAAGTTCCTAACTACAGTCCTCAGCCTATCTCCCCGAGGCTGCTTACCTATGCCACGTATGTTCGAGGAAGGTCAGAGACTCTCTAACAAGTCTCTGATTAGAGGGTCAAGACCCTGGGGGACACTCTCCAGCTGCAGAGCGGATCAAGGTGGCGTCTCTCCAGATGCGCAGAGCAGAGCAGAGCATTGCTCTTGGTCTCTGCTGACATACTTCCTGTCTAGTGAGAGCCACGGCGTTCTAGGACTGTGTCTGGTTATCTTGAGTGAGGTCACTGAGATCTGGTCATCAGGTGCAGCCTTGGATGAATAAGCTACATTCACAAGTCTAAAGGCACCTTTTACTATGCTCCTTACAGTGTCATGGGGCTGGAGGAGCGGGGGGGGGGGGGGGGGGGGGGGGGGGGGGGGGGTGGTTTGTACATACGCGCATACAGACGCCAGAGGTCAACAGAGAGAGCTTTCCAGCACTCTCCAGCTGATCTTTTTCTTGAAGACAGGGTCCTTCACTGAGCCTGGAGCTGGTGGATTTGGCAAGACCAAATGGCCAGAAAAGCCTCAACAATCATCCTCGTTAGCTGATGCACCCCGCTTTTTACGTTGACGGCGAGGATCGGAACTCGGGGTCTCGGGCTTGTTCAGCGAGCACTTAAGCAAATGAGTTACCCGTGCAGCCCCACCTATAAACCTCAGGCATTTTTTGAAGGAAATTTCATGTAGAGTTTAAGGAAGCAGAACAAAATAAATAAAAGGAGATAAAGCTTCGAAGCTTCCTCGACCTCAACTCTCCCCTCACCCCACCCCAAAATAAGTGGGCCAGAAGATTTGTGAGGAGCCGCTGGAGCAGTGAAAAGCCCGGATTCCTGTAGAGGAGGTGTGGGTGGTCCCGAATAAAACTTGGACTGAAAACTTGACGGGTGTTCCAGGAAAGGGCGCCGGGCGCCAGCAGGGAGCACTCGCGAGCGCAGCGGCTCTCCTCGCCCCGGGAGCAGCTCCTTGATTTGGGGCTGTCTGGAGAGGCAGGACCATCGCAGCTCAGCCGGGCCCCCGCCCTTTGAACTGTTACCTCTCCCAGCTCACCTGGCCGGAACTATGCACAAAGCGAGACCGCTGCTAGGTGGCTGGACTCGACCCTGGAAATCTGTGAGGATGGCCAGCTCCGGGGTGACTCGCCACAACCCGCTCGCGAATAAGGTGGCCCTGGTGACAGCCTCCACCGACGGGTGAGTACCCAGAGCCAGTCACCATCCAGAAACAAGCATTCTTCAACAACTGGACTCTTGTCCTCAGGCCTCAAATGCTGCCAAAGTCCCGTCCGGGGGAGAAAAAGGAAACCCACATAGTGAACCTGAAATCGCTCTGAATCCCTGACCTGGCCCTGCCACTGGCCAGCCCTTGTGTGGCTGCTGCTTTCGGCTTTGTGACAACTCTGCGAGTGGACCCAGGTCCCCATGCTTCTGGGCCGCTGGGCTGCCCCAATCGACAGCTCCACCTAGAGTCTGGGAAGACCAAAACAATCCCAGCGTCCTCACCCCTTACCTAGATCCTGTGCCCAGATCTTTAGTCAGGTCTGTATATTTTGGCCACCGTGCCCGGCCTGGCTCACCCACCGCTCTTAACTAATCTGTTTTTCCACAGGACTTTGCTAGACAAAAGTTCCTTGAAAACCTAAAACACAGATGTATATGAAAAGCTAACGTCTGGCAATTATAAAATAAGTAATTGATATTTATATTCTGAGCCATGCTTTTCCATAAAGGCCCTCAACGGTTAAAAAAAAAAAAAAAAGATATAACTTTGAGGTAGTGTGGTAAGAGAGATTTTTGGGTATATGGGCTCCTTCCAGCAAGGGCCTCAAGCCACTGCCATGCTTTCTCTCCCCTCTGGCCCAACTGGACATAGGTACAATAACCAGGCCCGTGGTAGGGGATGTCAGGTCCTGGGAACGGGGGTAAGATCATAATAAAATGGTCTGAGCTTATCCTTCTGTCTCCACTGTTAAGTCTACCTAATAGGAATATGTGAAGCTCAGATACACGGAGCAGGAGAGCCCAAAGTGTGAGTCCAGGGCCTGTGTGTGCCCTCACCATTTTTCCCTCCTGTAGAGGCCTTGACGGTGTATCTCTTTTGCAGGATTGGCTTTGCCATCGCCCGGCGTCTGGCCCAGGATGGGGCCCACGTGGTCGTCAGCAGCCGGAAACAGCAGAATGTGGACCGCGCGGTGGCCACACTACAGGGAGAGGGGCTGAGCGTGACTGGCATCGTGTGCCATGTGGGGAAGGTGGAGGACCGGGAAAGGCTGGTGACCACGGTGAGCAGGAAGGATGTGGGCCTGGGCCAAGAGGTGGCGGAAGGGAGGCAGCATGTGCCTTCACGCCTGATTTCTGAGACAGCCCTGGTGAGATGTAACCCAGGGCTGACCCCCGCCACCGTCCCAGCACTAACGCCCGAGCTAGCCCACCAGTGACTAGGGCAGGGAGACTGCTTGTCAGTGCAGGCGGCTGTGGAGACCAGAAGAGAGTCTTGAATCCTCTAGCGCTAGAGTGACAGGTGGTTATGTATGAGCCACCTGCTGTGAGTGCTGGGAACTGAGCTGGGGTGCTTTATGAGAAAAGTGCACCCTCTTCGCTGCTGAGCCCTCGCACCGAATCCTCACCAACACATTTTTACCGTGTTTCCTTTTCTGCTATGACTGGGAACAACCAGACTCTTCCAGCCAGAGACACAAAAGCCACCCTGGTCCTTCAACCTTGCATGATCCCTGAGACAGCCCCCTAAAAATGAGTGGTCCTGGTTCCCTGGTATGGCTAATAAATGCTCTCCTGTTCTTTGGCTTATAGGGCTCATAGACACTTGTAAGAGGCAATTCACTATGTTTCACTCACCTACTATGAGCCAGTTCTTGTGTTCAGAACCTTATGCTGTTTTGTTGTTGTTATTGTCACTGTTGGTGTTGGTTTGGTTTGGTTCTTTGAGGCACGATCTTTTGCTAGAGCTAGGGTGGTATGGGATTCACTTCGTAGCCTAGTCTAGCCATGAACTTCGCTTGCCCAATGCTAGAAGTACAATTGTGAGCCATCTCCCCCAGGCAAGGACTATTCTCCCAATATTTACAGAGTTGGGGTCACATGGCTGAGGATACCTCGTCAGCCAGAAAGGGAGGATCTGTGATTCAACCCAGGCCCACCCTTCTTTCAGTGCCTGCCTGCTACCAGGCACTTCCCCCATCTCTGTAATGCCAAGCTTTATGTGCCAAATAGACTTTAGTCTAAGCCCGTGTCAGGCTTGACACTTAGCACCAGTCTCCTGCACAAAAGGGTGTGTCTTCCCCCAAGGTTTGGGGGCTACACCACTCCCCCAAAATCCAAAGGAGGACCCACCAGAACAGAGAAGGTACAGCCTGGACAAACACATCAGATAGCTCTGGGGTCAAGCCCTGAGCCATGCACGAGTTCCTGTCAAAATCCTATGGGGTGGGAAGGCCTGGGACATGGTTCAGCCATTAAACATCTTTCTCTGAAAACAAGAGGACTGACGCTAAGACCCCCCAGGCCCACATAAACACCAGGTGTGTCTGGGGGCTCACCTGGAATACCAGTCTCAGAAGACGAAGATGGGGTACCCAGAGCAAACTCTAGATTTTGATTGACAGATGTTGACTCAAAAGAAGAGAGTGGAATAGCAACCAAAGACAGTTCCTGACATTGACCTCAGGCCTCCACACACAGGTGCACCTGTGTAAACATGTGAATACACTGAAAAAGAAGAAAAGCCTTATCAGGAAAACCTCCCCTGCCCCCCACCCCCAGCAAGCCCACCTAGCAGCTCCTGCAGCCCTGGCTCTGATGTGGAGCTTGAGTTAGACCATGAGGAATGGGTGGTAACAGGCAGCTAGGACAAGGATGGAGCTCCAGGGACCCCGATGGATGAGCAAACAGCCGAGGACCAAAGGGAAGAGGGGAGCTCTATCAGACCTCAGCCCAGAGCTAGGACTGTAGCAAGTGGGCCCCATGGGTGGCGTTCAAGGGCTTCCACAGATTCCCAAAAGAGTGTCAGTGGTTGTGTAGCAAATGGAACCAACTTGGAGCATAAACATGTGCACATACACATACATTAAAAAAAAAAAAAAAAAAAAAAAAAAAAAAACTTTTTAAAAAACAACTGTTTGGAAGTCTGTACAACAGATGTCAGAGTGGAGAGTAATGGGGTGACGGTCAGCAGGTTTGAGGTGTTCTCCTGCGTCAGCCGTTACCCTGCAGTGAGAAAAGCTGCTCCCAAAGGCGGTTGCTCCCACTCGGCCTCCCGTTCGGCACCACAGTTCAACAGTGGTGTGGTGAGACAAGCAAGACTCCCACTCGATAATACTTTGTTTTAACTAAGTAGCTGTCGAGACAGACAAGTCCAAAGCACATTAGCATGGTGATCAGACAAGTTTAGAGCAGAGTCGTCAACATGGTCTTCTCTCATTTGGCATTTTAGGGGGTTGGATTTATTATGTTGAGGTTATTATGTTTGGGGTTTTGAGACAGGGTCTTGTTCTGTAACTCTGACTGGCCTCAAGCCTGTGATCCTTTTTCCTTCAGCTTCGCTGGAGTTGGGATCACAAGCATAGCCTGTTAGACCCCATTTCTTGTGAACTTTTATGGTCCTGTGATGCCCAGTCAACACCCAGCCGTCTCCTCTGTCTGTGCTGACAGGCCTGACAAGGGAAGGAGACAGAAGCCAGAGGAGGGCAAACACACTCTTCCTCAGCCGGCTACGTCTCCCCTTCCCAGACATGCCCAGAGCATGCCACATGTCACTTTCCTTCTGTTCTGTTCTTGCCAGTCACACGCCATCAGGCTTTCTGCACAGCTCGAAGGCAGGTGAGTGAGACTTTGGGCTGCGACACCGAAGCTTAGGGTGTGTGAGCAGTCGTGGTTTGAGAGGCGTCTGTGACTTTAAATTCTTGTTAAATGAACACGTTGACAGCCTGGGTATTCCTCTAACAGCGTAGAAACAACTGAGCTTAGCACCTAGTTAGCGAGAATAATTAGTTAACAGTAGAAGCTGGCAGATGGTACACATTGTTAATGACACCCCCTCCTTTGCCAAATTGGAGGCACAAAGTTGATTGAGGGCCCATTACATGCTATTTGCCCAAGGCTACAAAATTGCCAGGTCTGGGCAAATACAAAGCCTGTCTTGAAGGTGGCTTCTAACTCCTGACAATGCATGTTGTTGTTGCTGTCATTGGCATGGTCTCCCAGGCCTTCACCACCTACTAGCAACTTACTGAGAAGGTGCGATATCTCCTTTCTTGGCTTTCTCAGTCTAAGCCTCAGTCTCTGCCTTGCCTCTTCTGTATTTCTGAGCCAAAGAGAGAAAGAAAAATGGCGTCAAAGCAGAGTGTGAAACTGCTTCAAAGCCAGAGTAGCGTCTTCACCAGCACAGCACTCCTGCACAGCTGCTTTCATAAAGGTCCCACCTGGCTCACAGAAGGCTCCTAGGAATCAGCTCTCACTAGAGTTGGAGTGTGACCTCAGTTCAGCCACCACCCTGTACCCTGAGGGGGGAGGGAGGAAATCTCTTTACCTCTCCCAAACACCAAAGGAATGGGCCTTCCTGCCCTTGGATGCCCCCCTCAGAACGATTACTGAGTTACACCCTTGAAAATGGAACTTCCTCTGACCTACATGTCATCACTTCCACGGTGAGGAAGTTGGGCTAGAGCGATTCTTTCTCAAGATCACTCTTCATTCAGGTATGAGTGAACAGACTGGCTTTGAGGTCATGGTAACACATTCAAGGAAAATGGGCAGTAGGCACTACAGGAAATGGGCTTGGGGCTCAAGAGGAGGTCTGGAAATAGATTTGAGGTGAGAGGTGAAGACATAAGAATGAAGGAGCTCACAGAAGGGAAGTGTAAGGAAAAAGAAACAAAGGGTCAGAGATGCCCTTCAAACAAGAGGCATCTTGGGAGAAGCACGGAAATAATAGCTTCAAATGTCAGCAGAGCTTATGGTGGCTTTAGAGAGAACACGCTTCCAGAAAAGACATTTGACAACTGCTCCTGAGAAGAAATTCTGTATCAACATTGATGAATGTACTCCCTCCCTTAGCTACAGCCCTGACTCACACCTTCTTCCTCTCTAGGCTGTGAAGCTTCATCAAGGGATTGACATCCTGGTCTCCAATGCTGCTGTCAACCCCTTTTATGGAAATCTAATGGATGTCACAGAGGAGGTGTGGGACAAGGTGAGAGATGAAAGCAGCAGGGGGCTGGCCTCCATCCGTCCTGTAGAATGCCTTCTTCCAGAGCATGTGTGAAGGGCACCCCTCCCCCCCCCCCCCCCCCCCCCCCCGTTGTGGACTTGGTAAAGCATGTGTGAGGGTGTCCTGCTCTTCTCTCTCACCTCTGCTTTTCTCTGGCTGTGTCTATTGTCATTTGCCCTGTGCTAGCCACCTCTGCTTCTTTTCCCCACCTCTCTACCCTAGGCTGCTCACCCACACTCTTCTGGTTTATTTCCAGCAAAAACATGGCAGCTAAGAGGCCAATAACCGCTACGTTTAAACTTATCCACCCACCCATCCCCTTTTCAACTGTTGGGAAAGAATGCTTTTACATTAGTTGGGAATGTTAATAACTGCTGTTGACTAAAATACCAATTTTAGTGAAATTACTAAAGCTGGTGCTTTACAGCATATGGCCGTTGGCTATAACCTCTCCTTTTCTCTTCCTAACATCACTGCTAGGAAAAGTCTAGGTATCTAAAAGGCACTGGGATGCTGATCTTCAGCTGAACATTTTTTCTCACATCATATTCATATTGTATTTCGCCCATCTATATACCCTTTAACGATAAAGCTTTAATTGCAGCATTTGTCTTTGTCTTTGTTTTCTTTGGGGGGTGGGGTGGGAGGAGGGCTTACTGAGACAGTGTTTCTCTCTGTAGCCTTGGCTGTTCTAGACTCGCTTTGGAGACCAGGCTGGCCTCAAACTCATAAAGATCCGCCTGCCTCTGCCTTAAAGTCACAATACATCAAACTCAAGATACAGTGGTTGGTCTTTGACTGTACTCTGGATTTGTCTGTTTGGTTGCTGTTGTTGTTATTGTTTTAATCAGAATCTTGTTAAATAGCCTAGGCCGGCCTTGAACTAGCAATCCTCCTACCTCAGCCTCTTAAATGCTAGGATTTGGGGCATGTGTCACCTTGCCTGGATCTGGAATCTTTTATTTAAAAGAAAGCCAAATGTTGAGACACACTCTTGTCACCCCAGTATTGGGAGGCTGAGACAGGAAGATCATTGGAAATCTGAGGCCATCATGGGCTATAGGTGAGTTCAAGGCTAGCCTAGACTATGTACTATAAAACCCTGTCTCTTAAAAAGGGAGATGAGGGACAGAAGGAAAAAATTCGAAGAACTGAGGAAAGTTTTCTACTCAAGTTTTTACAGATGCTATAGTATATAAAATTCTATCACTGCTACAGTTCTTGAGTATAAGAATGGATTGTAACTATGCAAAAGAAAATTCTTATTCTTTGGGAAAGTATAGTCATGCATTTGGGACTAGAGCATAGTCAAGTCTGCTTTACTAAAAACCAAAAAACTGGGAGCTGGGAAATGACACAGTGAGTAAAAGTGTTTGCCTCACAGCGTTAGGACCTGAGCTGGGACTTCAGAACCCACTTCAAAGCTGTCATAGCTCATGAGCCTATAACTGGCACTGCACAGGCTGGTAGAGACGGGCAGATCCCCAGAGCTGAACCAGTGAACCTGCCTCAGAAAATAAGGTAGGGAACAATAGAAGACACCCAACACACACACACACACACACACACACACACACACACACACACACACA